TTGACCTGCTGACAGGTTGACTATTGTTTTATAAAACGCTTTACTTTCACATTCCCTCCGCAACTCTGGTTTAAAAGAAGTGCCAATAATTAGTGCAAATGTCAGGTTTTTGTTTAAGTAAAATGGAATGGCGAGGCCAATGTTTTCATCTTGCCCTGCTGTCTGAAATTGATCGTCTGAACATCACAAAAACAGCTCTGTTAAACACTGGCTTGTGGTAGATGAATGCCTGGCTCTTTGAATAGAGAATAATCCCAAACAGGTGGCATGTATTTACAGCTGAACTCTAGAAATCCAGGTAAATCCAACTAACTCAGACACTTTTATATGCAAGAGACTCAGTCATATCTTTTCTTCCTCCCCTCCTCCTCTCAGAACGCTCCTCTAAAGCTCTTTAGCCCCTAATGTAACAATTTTATACAAAGGCAAGCAGCAGAAAAAGCTGTGGCAACTCTAAATTCTTTGGGAATCTGCCTCAAAGGGTGACCTGCCGTGAGGGTCAACCAAAGCAAAGCAGCACCAGATTCCATGTCACCACTGTCAAATCTCAATCCCTTTTAGCCAAAAGCCTTCTTGCATAGTTTTACACCATCTCTCTCATTAACTGTGTGCTTATTTATCAAGCTATTTTAATACATTTAGAGTCTGGCTTAACTTGTCCATCAGTACGTCACAGCTCAGTCCCTGCTCTGGACAGCACAGAATTTGACTCACTGTGTTAAGGAGATAAGTGAGAAGCTAATTGGGGAGAAACATGCTATCAGATAGAAAAAAGTGTTCTTGGAATGGGCATTTAATCTTATAAAAATATTGAGTTCTCAACTCAAGGATGCTGTTAAAGTGTGGAAATCATGCTATTAAGCCAGAGGCAGGTCTGCCTTAGTTGGCTCCATTTTGCTGAAGACTTTTCATTAGTCAGAAATGCAGGAATTAAAACAAGAGAGTGGATAGTCAGCCTTTGGAACAGGACTTATGTTTAATGACACAGGCAGCTTGTTATGGAGTAGGGATGTAATAGTGTAGTAGATTAACCAATAAACCGATAAGTAAAAGCTTATTGGTTAATGTTATAGACTACACACATTTCCCCCTTCCCAGTAAATTTTTAAGCAGGCTGGCCAGCAGCCTAGTTCAGTCTTGGATAGCGCCGGGTCTGGGACCTACCCATGCTGTGGCTCTGCATTTGAAGTGTTTTAGGAGCCAGGAGGGCAGGCAGCCCAGCTCAGTTCCAACTTGTGCCAAGTCTGGGAGCTCAACCCCGCCCTGGACAGGGGCTGCTGCCACCCCAGACTGCTGCCTCTGTATCAGCCGATCCATGAGGGGAGCTGGATGTTTAACTGGCTCCCCTCACAGACCAGTTCCCGCCTTGCCTCTGTCAGTGTGGAGTGGCAGGGGGCTCCTCAGGAGTGGGGCCAGAGCGCACTGGCTGCTGGGCCCACCCTCGGGGACTATAGAATAGCCGACTAACCAAGAAGACTTCATGATGTTAATTGACTATTCAATTAACCAATATTTAACATTCCTATTTATGGAGTGTTTCTCTGCATCCCTCTTGCAGCTAAAAGGATCACCTTCTGTGCCTGCCTCCCCACTGCCAGGAGAAATCCAGCTGTTCCCATACACCTTCTTCCAAATGAAAAATTATCAGTATCTTAGACCTTGCCAGAAGCAACTTCTGCCCTTTCCACTCCACTAGGATGTGACTGTAGTGAGGACTAGTCAGATAGACTTTTTGTCCTCTCACTCAGGAAACCCACGCCACATGGAGCTAAACTCTCTCAGAAGCAGACAGTGTGTGGAGCAGCAGACCTTCAAGATGCTTTCCAACAGTTTTCCCTTCTCCTTTACTGACTGAGCCCAAAGCTCTTTCCAAGTGTGGGCAGGGTCAATGAATGGCACCTTTGTGCCAGGGGCATGTGGACAGATGAGAGAGGATGGGTCAGGGGAGGAGGCTGGTTTGGAGACAGAATGCTACAGGGAATGGAAGGAATATTTGAAAGGCTGTCTATGTGGTTGTTTATGGACTTTGTCCATCTTGTTTATTCAGCTGTAAATTCTTTGAGATGGGCGTCTTTTACTATGAGGGATGGGATGGCAGCCAGGTTGTCAACTTAAGCACAGCATGCTGAATTGCAGGTGGCAAAGGGGAAATTGTAAACTGTAAAGTTGGAACAAACTCTTACAGAAAATGTTTTGGGATCTGAGGTCCATGCAAAGCAGATAGGAACTTGATTTTTAAGGTCTCATCCTGACTTTCATTAAACAACAAAGAAACCATTTAGCCTGTATAGAAAGATGAGAGGCTAAGCCAGCCCTGCAATAACTCAACCCTGTTGCTGTGTAGAGAGTCAACTCAAACCTGACTGTGAGAAGATGGCTCTGCTTGGGGCACCCTCGTGTGGCAGGTCATGGCGTGACAAGTGTGTCTGCCTCAGTTTCCGAGTTGCAAAGGCAAACTGTTTCTCTTAGCAGCAAATTCAAACCCTTTTTATTCATATAAAATGCCGCAGTCCTTAGCTCCCTCCTAAAGACAGTTCTTCTCAAAACCCCGAAGTAAAACAAGGCTAGCCTTCAATCCCGTTCAAGGGTCATCACTCTCAGGTCACCCACCCGCTTTGCCCAGTTCATTTAGCCCGTTACAGCACACACCCCTTCTACAGACCTTCTACCCAATAGTTCCTGAATCCACTTCTCTAGCATGAATTTTCTCTCCTGTAGCCCACAGAATTCTGTTCAGGGTTCCATTCAACCAGGCCTCCCTGCTTGACACTCCTACCACTGCTCAGGAAATGTCCCTCCACATGACCAGCCCCTTGTTCTGGGCTCAAGTTCTTGCAGCCTCTCAGTCAGGCCCGCTTGCCACAGTGTTTACATTCAGCCAGACTCTGCCTGGAAGTCCTGCCCATGCTCCTGGGATCCACACTCCAGGATCACACTCTTCACTCTCCTTTTGCGCGTACCTTCTCCTAACTTTCCCTTCTTCCAACAGGTCTCTGCCAAGGTTCCCTCTAAGCTGTGCCACAGAACGGCCCTACTTAATTGGCCTAATCCAGCCAGGGGCTTGGGGCTCAGGGCTCCGCACACGGAGCTGCCTGGCTGAAGGAGGGATACTTCTCCCTCAGCTACAGCAGCAGCTCCCTGCTGAAGACTTAGTCAGGCAGCTCCATGCGCAGAGCCCTGAGCCCCTGGCGAAGTGGTAGGGTTGCCAGATGGTTTAACCAAATATACCGAACATCCCCCCGCCCCTCTGCAAAAAAAAATTCTGTTGGGAAAAAAAGGGGGAGACCAAAGTTGTTGAGAAAAAAAACCCAAGAGTTGTTAAACAAAAAAAATTTAAAAAACCCAGCATGGCCCCTTTCAGAAATGCTTTTGAGGCTTTTTGGCCCATCCGCCATCTTGTCTTCCTGCTCCGGGCCAGATAGCTCCCCTGCGGAACCCAGTAAGCACCCAGGATTTTCGCCTCCTGGCCAGGAAAAAATCAGAAAATACTGGACATTTTAGGTGTCC